CAGCGACCCCTCACTTAGTTTAGGTAGGGTGCCAAACCCATCTAATCCTTGCATGGGTTCTTTTAGGTAGGAATGCACGCTTGCTAATGGAAACTTTGGACGCCAAACCTAAACTCCAAACCGGGTTTACCTGGATTGCTGTTCAGGAACCTGAATTAACTTACTTCTATATGGGTACATAGTAACTAACAAGGTTGTCTTGGTATAGTAACGTAATTAAAGTTCCTTAACAGCATCCTAGTTACGTTGAAGCCTCCCTGCCAGGAGCGAACCGTGGACAAGGACTTGGGCACCCAGATGGAACTTAGTGGAGCATTTCGAAGCTGTTTGCCTCATGAACTATCCCGAGGGTTACGTGGGCATTCAAGATATATAGAGTAATATTGGGGTATACTAGGGTTACATAGGGTATATTGGGGTAACATAACGGGATAATGGAAAATAAAATGGAGACTGCTATGTTATAGAGGGATTCCTTACTCAACATACGAGAAACACGCGGTTGCTAGATTTTCCGAACTCGAACACTTTCTAAGTCCTAAACCTATCTTGGGCTGCAGACCTTCAACCTTACTGTCCGAGAGGGTTTAGGATTTTGGGTCTAGGGTTTAGGTATTCGGGCTTAGGGTTTAGGGGCTTGTTGTGGACAGGAATCTGGAATTCTGCGCCACCCTGAGTACCCTTGCATCCTAGGAACCGCATTTGTAATCAGAGGCCTTTGTGGTTCAAGCTTTCCTTTAGGGTTTAGGGTTTAGGGCCCTAAACCCTAAACCCTAAACCCCTGTACCCTAAACCCTAAACCCTAAACCTATCTGTCTCAAGCTGCACAGAGGTATGAGCTCCATGGAAGTGGCCTTATTGTGAACAAGAGGATGCTCGTGTCCATGTTCGCAAAGGCAGCAGGGTTTAGGGTTTAGGGTGTAGGGTTTAGGGTTTTTAGGGTTTAGGTTTGAGGGTGGACACTGGGGTCCGTCAGAATAGTTTCCCCTGAGGGTCCAAGTACCCAATAGTCATCTACTTACCCCAAACCTGTACTAAAACTATTATTACCAGAATCCCAAGTACCTAATTATTGGGTACTTGGACCCTAAGCCCTTAACCCTAAACCCTATATACCCCTGTATATCCCTATATATCCCCTTTAAAGGGACCTAATTATTGGGTACTTGGACCCTTAGGGTTCAGGGTTACACGGTTACACAGCTCAGTAAAGCTACTGTCTTCTCCTTGCCGGACTGTGAAGCACAAATGTTGGTTTTACTGACAATCAGGACTTCTGCTTGGGAAGCAGTACAGACGCGGTTTAGGGTTTAGGTAGTTTCCACGAATAGGGGCTTCCCAATGTAGACCCCAGATTATTATCTTGCCTTATTATGAGAAGAGTAAGTATCCTGAATCTTGGGCAAAAAACCTAAGCACGACTCTTGAAGTTTCTTCCCTGTTGAGGGCTCAGGGTTTAGGGTATTTCGGGTTAAAACTTCAGAGAGGAACATTAATTTGTCATCCCTCGATGAAGGCTCTCAAAATTATGTAGCTCTTGTTTCAAGTTAGATCGTTTTACAACGCATTTTGCACGAAGGGTGTATATTGGGGCCACCCGCCGAAAAAAGAGCTAGCAATATCCACATCCCTGATAGACTACTGGCTTGGCTTCGGTGGTCCTTTCCGTGGCCTACGAGTTTTTCCGGCTGCAAAGGGCGTATCGAACACACATTGCGTCGACGGCATAGCCTACTAAGCGAAAACCCTCCACCAGGGCCTGCAAAGTATGTAAAACAATGGCCAACATTTCATGGAAAGGCGGCTTCTTTTCTGCATACGTTTGGTCTCACAAGTCCACAGACTGCTCATCCCCGCGGATGGAGGAACCACAGCTATCAGGCACTGCCTTCACTTAGCAACAGACAGTTAGATAATATGGTTTTTCTCCCTTAAGTAGATAGAGTATGGAATTGACCTATATAGTCAAAAGATCCCCTTATATGCCATATTCTATCTACTTAAAGGGGAGCATATCCTACAGTTTCTATAGCTCTTAATACTCACCGCCCTATTATAGGCTGTTATTGGATGGGGGCAGCACCCAAGCTATGATTGCGAGTATCGTAATGGGACCCATGAAGCAAGAAGGGGATTGTACGATCCCAGATAGTGACACCCGTCAAATGGCGGTGCTAGGCAACGAAATGCTGCAGCGTTGAGACTCCACGTTCCGGTTAAATTAGACGCCCCAGTCATGCAAGTGCACAATATCGGGTTGATGGAAGGCTTTCAGGGTTTGGTGCCCCCGAAGTCGTGTAAACCCTAAACCCTAAACCCTGAATCCTAAACCCTAAACCCTGAATCCTAAACCCTAAACCCTAAACCATGAGTCCATGCCAATTCTACATCCTGCCGGACCTCAAATGGCTTCAGAGGTTCTCAGAAAGCCCTATTGAGGGAATATACCCTAGATAGCACGAGGATCCCTACGATTTAAGGCATACCCTGAGGCTCCTAGGACTATTTGGGGCCTTCTGGGGGAAGGTTTGGGCATTGGAGGCTAAGGTTTAGGATCCCATTGTGAGGGTCCAAGAGCCTTAGGGTAGTCCCTCATAAGGTACATAAGGGTTGCTGGCTCTAGGGGCTCATGCTCACGGATTTAGTGATTTTTTTTGTTGGGGGGGGGAGGGGGGGGGGCTCCGAGTACTTTCAAAAGTCGTATTACAGGGCTCCGTTGAATTTCTACATATGTGGGGGTAGTGTCTAGGGCAGTGTAGAAGCTTCAATAAGCACCAATATATTGCTGTGAAGTTTATGTGAGGTACTCTATAAACGCATAACCTCATTACAAGGAATCTGGGACCTCAATGGTTATTCCCTATATGCTTCTAAATAAACCCCTATATTAATTTTCTAGAATGCAAGGTTGGTAGCTATTTGGGCCCCTACACTCCATGGCACTAAGCTTGGACCTTAGACCCTACACCCTTTAAGATTCTCCTATACTCCTATTATAGGTGCCTAAAGGGTTAACCCTTACTGGGGGTCCTAAGTGCCGCATAGTACAGTAAGGACTTTGGGTCCTTGGCAGTGGGTTGAAAGATGCTGCTACGCCCTCCGCTGAGCTGTCACGGTAAG